CCCCGCCGCCCGCCTCCCCCGGGGCGCGCCGCCCCGGCCCCGCCGCGCCCCCCGGCCCGGGCCCCGGGCCCCCGCCGCCCGCCGCCGCGCCGCGTTGGAGCAGCAGCGGCAGCGGGAGCATCGGCCGCCGCCCGCGGCGCAAGTGGGAGGTGTTCCCGGGCCGCAACCGCTTCTACTGCGGCGGCCGCCTTATGCTATCCGGCCACGGCGGCGTCTTCGCCCTCACGCTGCTGCTCATCCTCACCACCACCGTCCTCTTCTTCGTCTTCGAGTGAGTTCGGCGGCGTCCCCGCCCCCTGAGGCGCCCCATCCCCTCCGATCCCCTTTGCCGCCTGCCGCTCACCCCACCTTCCCCAGCCCTTGATGGACACTCCAGCCCCTCTGGTCCCCTGCTGGGCACCCCGTCCTCTCCCACCTCCTGGGCGCTCCACCTTTCCCAGCACCTGCCAGGCACCCTCCCTTCCCAGCTTCTCCTTGGCCTCCTGGTGCCTCTCAGAATCTGCCCTCAGGTCTCTCCAGTCTCCTTGCTTATCTCCCACCTGTCCATTCTGGCCCCCTCCCAGACTCGCCATCCTTCCGTGACAATTTGGATCACCGTCTAAGCTGGTCACCTCCATCCCTGCCAGCCATCCCATCCCCTCTGGCCCCTCCCTAGCACCCCCATCCTTCCCTGGCACCCTGCCTTTGCCAACCTCTGCCAGGATCACTGCCGTCCCATGTCCCTCCAAGACCCCTATCCTCTCTGCCCTCTCAGAATCTGACCCAGGCCTCCCCAGCTCCTTAGATAGATCCCCTCTCCTCACCTGTCCCCTGGACCATCTCTTGTTCCCAGCTTTTTTCTGACCCCTTGAAGCGTCTTTTCTTTATATCCTTTCCAGACAACTTCTGAATTTCTTCCTTGTCCTTTGGCTATATACCACCTCAGATTTCCCGGCCATCTTCCCTGTTCCCTCCAGGGTCCCTCTAGGGTCCCCTAGTCATCTCTCTACTCTCAGACCCTCCCCCCTTGCTTTGCCTTCAGTCGTTCTCACCCTAGGCCCTCAAATATCTTTGGGCCTCTCAGACCTCCCCTTTTCTCTCCAGCACCTTCCTTAGTTTCTCCAGAGCTTCCTGTCCTTCCCTCCTCCTCCTCTGGTCCCCCCAGACATGTCCCAGGCCCCTGCCCCCCACCTCCTGACCTCCTGGCTTTCTTTCCCTTCCCAACACTCCGGAGTACCTTCTGGCCTGTTCCACGGCAGGAACAGTTGCAGTGCCTTGTTATTTTTCAAGAGTCGAGAGGATTTTCGTGTGACAGGTCATATTTGCCCCCCATGGCTTTTTGACCTCTTCATATCCCCAGTGACTCAGGATTGGCCCACACAGTGTTCTCCATTTCATGGATGGAGGAAGGGATGCCTGTCACTTTACCAGGGTCACCTATTTGTATCAGAAGTTTTCCACTCTACCATTGATCTCTAGCTTGAGCCACCTGCTTCCTGATTCCTTTCACACACACTCACACATACACACAAACGCACACCTACTCATGCTGCATGAGCCCCACCTTTCCCTCCTGGTTCTACCCATCCTTTGTGGTCTTACTCAATTTTACAGGTGGTTAAGAACGCCATCTGTGCAGCCAACAGAGCTGGTTCAAATCTCAGCTCCACCATGCACCAAGTGTGTGACTTCGGGGCGGCCACTTCCCTACTCAGAACCCCAATTTCCTCATCTATAAAATGCGGTGTATAATAGTACCCCCTCCTCAGGTTGTCACGAGGGTGGCAGGAATTCATGCACATAAGCTCTTAGCTGGTAATAAGCATCTAAAGCTGGCTGCTGCTGTTACTTGTCATCACCAAAAAATCCTTCCCAAGGGCCTTGATAAGGCTTCCACCAAGACACTGGCCCCCAGGTACCCTTTCCAGCTGCCAGATCATGTATCTGCAACCTTGGGTTTCCCCTTGAAGCAAGGTGAGGACTTCCTACCAATTAGCTTCTCCCTTTCACCCTTTCCTTTCTGACTCAGGGTGGATAAAAAGTTCCAGAATAATTAACAAGCAGAAACTCTGGGGAGCCCCCAGCCTCCAGCACGGCCCTTGGGCTGAGTTTCAGATCCACCTTGCTGGGCCCACCCACGTGGGTGTTTTGGAAGTTCCTTTTCCAGCATCCCTCAGGCTCCACCAGATCCTCCCAGCCAGGGATGCAGCTGAGGAAGTGGTGCGCGGCAGGGCCGGCCCCTGTAACCCTGCAGTGTGGGATTTGGTCAATTCAGAACCTCTGGGCTGAGGGGATATCTTCACTGGTGACAGATTTGTCCCCAGAGAGGGAGGAAGCGAGGACTTCTGGGTTCCAGGAGAGCTTGTGAATCATCTCGTCTTTGTTGCTGCTTCTCCTCACTTGGGCTGGTGGTGTTGGCAGGAGGGTTTGGGTTTGGGCTGAGAGCTCGCCTGGGCCTGGACTGGGGTGGAACCTCAGGAGGGACCTGGTGTATGGGAACGCTGTTGGCGAGGGCCTGGAGGGCGAGAGGTGCTCACACTCTCCCAAGGCTCTGGGGAAAGGTAAACGTGGCTCTAGGGCCTTTCTTGCTGTGAATGATTTTCTCTAATGTTTGATTTGGTGCATTATTGCACAGGCCTCCCAGCTTCTGCCCTGCTTCCCATCCCCACACAGCAGCCAGAGTGCCCCCTTTACTGCCAAGTCAGATCTGAATATTCCCTGAATATTCCCTGCCTCTCTGGATAAGAGCCAGAGCCCTTGTGGTGGCTTCCTCTCTGTCCCCATCTCCTCCCACTCTCCCCTGTGCATTCCCTCCCAGGCACATTGCCCTCCTTGCATACTCTGACCTCAGGGCCTTTGCATGGTTTGGAATATCCTTCCTTTAGATAGCTTCCTGGCCCACTCCCTCACTTCCTCCTATCCCCTGACCATCCCTGTAATATAGGAAACTGGCCCCCTCCCTCCTGTCCCCTCTGCTCTGACTTATTCTCCAAAACACTTGCCACTATCTGACATACTACACTTATGCTTCTTGTTAGCTTCTTGCCTGTCTCTCTCCATGAGAACAGGTATTTATTCTCACTGTTGTAGTCACAGTGCCTAGAACAGGGCCTGGTATGTAGTAGGCACTCAATACAGTAAATACATTGCAATACAATATAGCAAATACGTTTATTTGTTGAATGAAATGGACAGAGCATTTGCTGGGGGCTTGGAGACCCCAGTCCTGCCATTGCCTGGCTGGGTGACCTTGGATCTGGCTGTGGGCTTTGGAGTCCCGTCTGTAAAACCAGGGGCCAGGACTTGGTGTTTCTGAGGGCTCTGCAAGTCTTCTCCATCTCCCAAGAAGTCTGGTTGTACATGAACTAGTTGAATTGTCATGTGGGTGACACAGAGGGCGCAGCACTGTTTGAGGCTCAGACCTGGGGACCACTGAGATGTTTGGAGCAGAACATGGCCCACTTGGAGCCCTTGGTTTTGGCAGTCTCTGCTCCTCAAGGGAAGGGCCTCTCTGGAGGCCAGAGCCTCCAACAATGGAGGCTCCAGAAGCAGCGTGTAGATGCCCACGGGTTTGCTCCTGCGACTGTGCCAGCTCCTGGGACGTTGGCTGATTCAGGCCTCCCAGCGGTCAGTCATCCCCAAATAGCAGTTCCTCACCCCATCAGGTGCCACTCTGGCTCTGGGAGGGAAGGCCACATAGGATGGTGGTTAATAGTATGGGCAGGCCTCAACGTCAGACCCGTGCACAGGCTGTTGGAGCCCACTAGGGTCAGGGGGCCTGATAGAACTGACTCCGGATGCCAGCCCTTGGGTGACAGTGGCAGTGGCTGGACCATGCTCTTCCCCCCTACACCCTTTACCTGGCTGACCCTACTGATTCAGGTTCTAGCTTAGGAAGTCTCTCCTTCATCCAGTCTTTCCTAACTGTTCTACTACTTTCCCCTTCCCCATTATAACATGCCAAGCTCTGTGTGGCAGTTCTCTGTTTACATGTCTGTTTTCCTCACTAGGCCATAAGCCTCATTGAGGGAGCAGGGGGACTCTTGTCTTATTCGCTGCCGTTATCCCTGCTGCTTGTTGAAGTCATTGCCTTTAACACAGAGAAGACCTCAGTAAATATTTGTGGAGAGACTGAATAAATGAGTGAACAGTATCTTGGATGATTCATCTTAAGTGACAATCATTGGTAGTGGCTGCCTGAAGCTCTGTGTTTAGAAGGAATCTGAGGCTGCAGCCAAGTGCAGGGGTTGAGTGCTGGGATCTGTTGATCACATCTGCCAGGGGCTCAGGGAGAAAGTACAAGGATCAATTAGTGATGTCTGCTCTAGGCATGGACGGGTGCGGGGCTGCACTCATCCAGGGATCATACATCTGCCTCTTTTCAGGACCGTGGTGGTGTTTGATGCGATGACAGCTCCTGCCTGGTGCCATAGCCCTGAGCCCCAGGCAGCCCTTGGAGTGTCTGCTCATCTCTCTCTCCCTCTCTTTTTCTAGCTGTCCCTTTTTGGCCCGCCAGCTGACCCTCGCCATCCCCATCATTGCTGCCATCCTGTTTTTCTTCGTCATGAGCTGCCTGCTACAGACAAGTTTCACCGACCCCGGAATCCTGCCCCGGGCCACCGTCTGTGAGGCAGCGGCCCTGGAGAAACAGATCGGTGAGGCTCCTACTCCAGCCGTGGCTCTGTCTCCCAGCTCCGCATTTCTTGATTTGAGAGGAGGCCTGATTTTCTCTTCCCACACTGTGCTAGGCACTGGGGGTACCGTGGTGAGCAGGGCAAGCTGGAGCCGATGCTAGAGTGGAGGAAGCAGAGGATAAGCACATGAGCAAATAAGCGAGAAATGCCACCACATGAGGGCTGGTGTTGAGAGCCACACGGTACTGAGTGCTTACTGGAGCCCAGGCACTGTGTTCACCTCTTTATATGCATGATCATATTTAATCCTCCAGTAATCCTGTGAGACAGGTACTGTTGTTATTCTCCTTTTACTGATTAATTAAATTGAGTCTCAAAGAGGTTAAGTAAATGGTCAGAGGTCACACAGTCAGTGGAAGAGCGCGGATGAGACCCCGGGCACTCTGACCAGAGTCCCTGCTCTTAAACGTTCATACACACTTATTCATTCACTCATCAAACATTTATTGAGCCCCTACTATGTGCCAGGCACTTTTCTAGATACAGCAGTGAACAAATCTGACGATAATCCCTGTCTTCTTGGAGCTGACATTCCAGTGGGAGGGGAAAGACAGTTAACAATTAAATATCTAGTCTGTGACACAGAGAAGAGGGAAGCTGGGGGAGGGAGGGTGAGAGCTGGGAGAGGGTGTACAATTTTAAATAGGGGGAAAACATGGGGGGGTGGGGAAGGCCTTGTGAAGGAGGTGACATCTGAGCAAAGACACAAAGACCTGCAGGGATGAGGAGTTGAGCTGCGTGGGTGTCTGGGGGAGAGCACGGTGGTGTGGGGAGTGGGCTGGTCCAGACTAGTCGGTCAGGGGAAGCCCTTTGGAGGAGGTGGCACTTGAGATGAGCCAGTAATGTGCGTTCTGGACGTAGTAAAAGCAAAAGCCGGGAGTGGCGACCAGACTGGTGTGTTTGAGAAGCGGCAGGAAGGGCAGCGTGGCCAGGAGGGACCTGTGTTCCCAGCACCCAGCTGGCCCTTGGTGCCTCCCTGAGTGCTGAGTGGGTGTCCTGGGTGGCTGGGCGCCACGGCCACGGCCTTAATCTCAGCTTGCTCCACCTCAGCTCCTTCCTGCTG